ACACACACACACACACACACACACACACACACACACACGGTAGATTTATTTTTAGTTTTTTGAGACTTCTCCATGCTGATTTCCATAGTGGCTGCACTAGATCTCAATTCCATCAGCAGAGAATGAAGGTTTCCCTTTCCCAGAAATCTTTCTAGCTTTTGTTGTTTGTTTTCTTGATCTTTACCATTCTGACTGGGGTAAGGTGAAATTTCAAAAATAGTTTTAGGACACTGAACACTTTTTTTTGATTTTTTGAGACAGGGTTTCTCTGTAGCTTTTGGTTCCAGTCCTGGAACTAGCTCTTGTAGACCAGGCTGGCTTTGAACTCACAGAGATCTGCCTGCCTCTGCCTCCCGAGTGCTGGGATTAAAGGTGTGCGCCACCACCGCCCAGCTGACACTGAACACTTTTAAGATCTATTTATTTTTTAGCCATCATTCTTTCATTTTTTGATAACTCTGTTCATCTACATAGCCCACTTTTTAATTCGGTCATTTGTTTTCTTGAGTCTTTTTTGTTTTTTGTTTTTTTTTTTTTTTGAGTTCTTTGTATATTGTGGATAATAACCTTCTGTTGGATGTCTAGATGGCCAAGATGCTCCCCCACTCTGGGGGCCTCCTCTCCACTTGACTGACTGTTTTCTTTTTGTACAGAAACTTTCACATTTTATGGGTTCCCATTTGTCAGTTGTTGGCCTTAATTCCTGAGCAAACGGAGTCACAGTCAGAAAGAATCTCTTTCTGGACCTATGTCTGTTTTTTTTTTTTTTTTTTCTAGCTATTCAGCGTTTTGTTTTCACAGTGACATCTTTGATCCACGTGGAGTTGCTTTTTGGGCAAGGTGATAAATGCAGGTCTAGTTTCATTCTTCAGTGGTGTAGTCATCCAGTGCAGTGTGGGCGGTACCGCGCCTGCACAGAGAGTCTTGGATTGTCTGAGAGCAAGCCAGCAGAGCGCGATCAGGGCAAGCTAGCAGATAGCACTCCTCCGTGTTTTCTTTCAGTTCCTGCCCTGACTTCCCTCCACGACTGACCTGGAAGTATCCAAATAAACCCCTTCCTCCTCAAATTGCTTTTGGTGTTGTATGGTATGGTAACATAGCAACACGAAGCAAGCTAAAACACACAGTCAAAAGGATGAACACGCGTCCTCCAGAGTGACCGTGTGTGTCATCTGTCATCTCTAGTGTGCTTCTTTTCTTGTGTTTTGAGACGGGGTTTCTCTGTGTAGCCCTGGCTGTCTTGGAACTCACTCCGGCCTTGAACTCCGAGATTCACCTGCCGCCTCTGCCTCTAGAGTGCTGGGATCAGCTGGGATTAAGGTGTGTGCCACTGCCCTGCTCTTCTTCTACTTCTTTTTTTTTTAACATTTTTTTTAGTCATGGTATTTTTTATTGACTATTTGGGAATTTCACATAATGCACTCCTATCACCCTTACTTCCCAGTCCTCCCAGGTCTGCGCCCCCCCCTCCTTGTGGCCCTACCCGCTTAAGATGTTTTTAGAAGTTCCATGTGTGTTGTTCATATACTCCCTGGAGCATGGTCGCGCTCCCAGGGGCATCTGTGCCCCTGCTGACTTTAAAGGACAAGGAAACTTCTGGGATTGATGACGGCAGACTTGAAGTTGAGAAAGAGAGACATAGAAAGCTTCTGTGACTATCCCCACCCCCAGAAAAGACAACCTAGACAGGAAGCCTAAAGAATTCTGATAAGGATGAAGACATGTAGCTCTCCACAATAGATGGCTACTAGCGGGGTGGGAGGTGGGCTATGACTCACTTTTCTTTATTGTATGTATGTATGTATTTGTTTGTTTGTTTGTTTGTTTATTTTTGGTTTTTCCAGACAGGGTTTCCCTATGTAACAGTTCTAGTTGTCCTGGAACTAGCTCTTGTAGACCAGGCTGGTCTTGAACTCACAGAGCTTGGCCTGCCTCTGCTCCCCAGTGCTGGGATTGTACTTCTTACTGAGCCTCCAAGTACCTACTATTAACTCTAGTCCTAAGTTAGGTTAGAGATCTCGAGTCATTCAGCTTATAACACTGCAAATCATCACCCTTTGGCCCCTGGTCTCACTTCCTTTCCCTCCTTGTCTCTGGGAACTGCTCTTTTCCAGTTATTGTTTCTTTTTTTTTATTTGTTTTTTAAAGATTTCTGCCTCCTCCCTGCCACCACCTCCCATTTCCCTCCCCTTCCCCCTGCCAAGTCCCCCTCCCTCGTCAGCCCAAAGAGCAATCAGGGTTCCCTGCCCTGTGGGAAGTCCAAGGACTACCCACCTCCCCATCCAGGTCTAGTAAGGTGAGAATCCAAACTGCCTAGGCTTTCACAAAGCCAGTACGTGCAGTAGGATCAAAAACCCATTGCCATTGTTCTTGAGTTCTCAGTAGTCCTCATTGTCCGCTATGTTCAGCGAGACCGGTTTTATCCCATGCTTTTTCAGACCCAGGCCAGCTGGCCTTGGTGAGTTCCCAAAAGAACATCCCCATTGTCTCAGTGTGTGGGTGCACCCCTCACGGTCCTGAGTTTCTTGCCCATGCTCTCTTTCCATCTGCTCCTGATTTGGACCTTGAGATTTCAGTCCAGTGCTCCAATGTGGGTCTCTGTCTCATCCAGTTATTGTTTCTATATATTTTACTTTTTCTTAAGATTTCACACATGGTGTGGGACATGTGGTTTATTTGGTAGAGTGTTACCTAACATGCATGAAGCCCTGGGTCCCAACCTACATGCCTGTAATCCCAGCACTTGGAATAAAGAGTTAAAGGTTATCTTGGCCTACGTGGAGTTGGAGGCTAGCTTGGGCTACATGAGACCCTCTCTTAAAAAAAAAAGAAAAAACAAAGCAAACAAACAAAAAAGCAAAACAAAATGCAACAAAGTGAAGTCCTATTTTCAAAATTCACTATTTACGGCTAAAGGGGAATCAATCTGTCATCAGTTGACCCAGGCATGGCGACCGAGACAAGGAAAGGCTGTTGTCAAGACGGGCAGGGACTAAATAGGATCTACCTTTTCAGATGGTAGTGCTTGATTAGAATGAGCTCTCCACCTCCACCCCAATCTAGCAATGTCTGCACACATTTTGCCTATGTGGGTTTCTCAAAGCACGGGTCCGCCTACTTTATTTTGTTCCAACCCTCATTTTCGACTTCGAGTTAGAAGATGACATTTCTAACTCCCAGAGTCTGCATGAAACTGCTTCCTTCCTCTTAAGCCTCGGTCCTCTACTCAGCGTTCAGGCTCCGGCTGGGTCCTTACGTTTAGGAGAGGGGCTTCCTCTCAAGGATGTGATCCAGGAACGGGGTATCCCACTGGTCTGCATTCTCAACTGCTGGAGAGTTCCACCTCTGGGGGGAGAGAACGGCTCCCCGACAGTGACACACCACAAGCTCTTTTGGGTCCTTGGGCAGAATGGCAAGCCAGCAGGCACACTGAGCAAGACACCAGTAGGCTTGGGCAGGTCTCAAAAGGGATCTTATTAGTCTGGCCCTATTTGGAGAGCATTTGTTCCTCTAGCGCAAGCCATGGTCAAACTACAAGGCAGGACATCTCAAACACCAGAACCACTGGGGGACCGGTTTGGTGAGTCTTAAGTCGGCCTCTCTCTCCCAGGCCAGGAGCTCCCTCCAGCTTCCCAGGCACCACTTCTATCTCCCTCCAGCTTCCCAGGCACCAGGTCTATTCGGCTAGCCGGTCCCAAGAAACCTCAAAGGTTGGTCTGGAGGCTTGCTGCAAGGGTGAAGAGGGAGGTGCGGCTGCTAGGTTTCCTGCCACAATCTCTGGGTTGAGTCAGGCCGGCGGCTGGGCTGGTCCTGCAGCAGGCACGCTGAACAGAAAGGGCTGTGGTTAATGATTGACCCGTGGGAGACCTCTTGGCTTCCCTCCTGGAAGGCGACCGGGAGGCCCGTGCCAGGGACCTGGAAGGGTGAGGAGGAGCTACAGCCAGGCAAAGTACTGCGGGTCTCACTCTGAGTTGGGTGCGGAGGTCAGAGCCTCCTTCCCTGACTTGTCCCTCTTCACTCCAGAGAGCTATTTCCAAACCCCACCACCACTCACTGACGCCGCCGGGATCCTGGGGTGAATTATTCCAGGAAGTTTCAATGAGAAAGCCGAAAAACTAAGTCACCCCTGGCCAGCCAAGCCCAGTGACGGAAAGTGCTGCGCCCACGCTGGTGAGTTGCAGGATTTCTCTGGGAAGAGTAAGGAAAGTAGAGACGTTTGGGGATCTGGTAGCCTGGCTCTCTCTTCCTCATGGCTTCATCCAGTGACTCTAGCAATGTCTGCTCCAGTGTCATCGACCACAGCCACGTCCGCGAATTTGAGGTGGCCCCTTGGATCAAAATCACCCTCATCTTGGTGTACCTGATCATCTTCGTGGTGGGCATCTTGGGCAACAGCGTCACCATCAGGGTCACGCAGGTATTGCAGAAGAAAGGCTATTTGCAGAAGGAGGTGACAGATCACATGGTCAGTTTGGCTTGTTCAGATATCTTGGTCTTTTTGATTGGCATGCCCATGGAGTTCTACAGCATCATTTGGAACCCCCTGACCACACCCAGCTACCCGCTGTCCTGCAAGCTCCACACGTTCCTCTTTGAGGCCTGCAGCTACGCCACCTTGTTGCACGTGCTGACCCTCAGCTTTGAGCGCTACTTTGCCATTTGTCACCCCTTCAGGTACAAGGCCGTGTCTGGACCTTGCCAGGTGAAACTGCTGATTGGCTTCGTCTGGGTCACCTCCGCCCTGGTGGCACTGCCCTTGCTCTTTGCCATGGGTATCGAGTACCCCCTGGTGTCTGTGCCCACCCACAGAGGACTCAACTGCAACTTCACTCGCACCCGCCACCACGAGCAACCTGAGACCTCCAATATGTCCATCTGCACCAACCTCTCCAGCCGCTGGACCGTCTTCCAGTCCAGCATCTTTGGGGCCTTCGCGGTTTACTTGGTGGTCCTGGTGTCTGTGGCTTTCATGTGCTGGAATATGATGAAAGTACTCATGAGGAGCAAGCGGGGTACTCTGGCAGGGGCCGGGCCACAGACGCAGCTGAGGAAGTCGGAGAGTGAGGAAAGCCGGACGGCGAGAAGACAGACCATCATATTCCTGAGTGAGTCCGGGTCGCTGGGGTTCCTGGGACTTCTGGCTTGAGACGCGAAAACTGAGTTCACTGAGGCTCAAGAGGGGTAGCTGCATAAGGGCCGTTGGGCTCATCCGGGTGTGTGGAGAGGCTTCTCTTTGTGTTTAGGAAATCTGTGGTCTGTGACATTGGGAGGTCTGGTACCTCATTGCTGTGACTTTAGGCTATAAACAGAGTATCTTGGATGAAAATATAGGGAGATAAGAGGAACAAATTAAGTCACCCAGGACAGGTGAGTCTCTCTGGAGAGGGGCGTGTTCTTCAGAGATAAAGAGAGTGACTCTTACCTTCTGCATCCTTAGACCAGAGAACCTTGATCAGGTGGGGAAATTTTGCCCCCATTTTTTTCCTCCTCATCTGGAGAGGCTGGCTTGTTAGGGACCCTGGCTCTCTGGATTGCTATCCCCGGCAGGAGTGATCTGTAAGTCTTCAGGAGCTGGAGCTCTGCCAGGCTCTCTCTGAGATGTGCATGAGCACTCCTTGCTTGGGACCAGGGGTCTGTGCTTCCCTGGAAAGTGACCCGGCCTCAACATTTCTTAGTGCCCCCATTTCTGGTGCAGAGAAAGCTGTTTGCTTCCCAATTGTGGTGGCGATATACGTATTTCAAATTGAGGACCTTCTCTGGACTGAAGGGGAGTCTTTCTAGGGAGCTAGCGCTGTAGAAGGCCCCCGTGTCTTCAGGAGAGAGTCGATAGATGCTAGAGATGTGGCTGTGATTGATGGCCGAGGGCTTGCCTACCATGTGGCAAGCCATGAGAGCCATTTCCAGCATCACATAAACTTGTTGTGATATACCATTCTTATAATTCTAGCATTGGGAGGTGGAAACAGGAGAAGTTTAAGGTCATCTTTGGCTACATAGTGAGTCTGAGGCTACCCTGGGGCTCCATGAGACCCGACACAAAATCAAAGAAACAAAAGAGCTAGATTGAGGGCTAGAGAGGTGGCGCATTACTTGGGAGAATTTTATTGTTCTTCCAGAGGACCCTAGTTTGATTTCCAGCACCCTTTTTGAGCATCTCATAAACACCTATAACTGCAGCTCCAGGGGACTTGATGGCCTCTTTTGGGTGCTCTTCGCCTAACAATAGCAAACACTCACATTGCCGTACACACATATATGGATAATAACAAAAACATAAAAGACTAAAACAAAACAAAACACAGAAGGGTTTTATAGCTGTCCCCTGGGAGCCTGTAGTGTGTGTGTGCCACCAAACGGTTAAAAAATATTTTCAGCAGCAACAAGAAAAAGGTGACATCATAGGCAGGCGAGTGGGAGTCGGGTCAAGTGAGAGATGAGATTCGGAACGTTTTTCTCCTCTTTTTCCCTTTTCAGTGTGCTGAGTGAAATCAATCCTGACGTTGTTTGTTTGTGTATCAGACACTTGAGTAGCGTGTCCCAGGGTTGCAGTTCAGGCAGGGGTGAAGCTGGGGAGGCATTTGGGAAAGCATCAGCCCTGCCTTTTGGCTGAGGGTGGGTCAGTTGCTGACTTGACTTTAAGTCTGTAGGAAGTGATAAGACACAGGCTTGCACGGTTTGGGTGGCCATCTAACATCAAGGGCTGTGTTGCTGGCATGGAAGGGGTTCTCAGGACACCAGCTGGGATTTCTGGGTTCTTGTCCTCTCGAAAAGGCAATTGGATCAAGAACATTTAGATTGTAGCATAAACACAGACAGCTGATTATGAAAGAGGTCATCCCTAACAAGGAAATGTGTCAGCAAATTGGGAAAGAAAGACTCTGTGTGGCTCTGGCTCCCTGGAGCTGTGATCTTTTGTGAGTCCGTCACACAGTGTTCACCCTCTCCTGCCCTTATATACTGTGCCTTGCTCATCTCCCTCAGTTTTCCATATGTTAATCCTAATGCCCTTTTCCCTGCCCTTCCCTTCTGCCACAGCCCCGCGCTATGCCATATATATTTCCGTTTTATAGAGGAGGAACCCGAGGCTTTACGAACTGGGACGTAGCTCTGTTGATAGAGTCTCCAGCACTGCATAAAAACGGGAGTGAGGGTGCATACCTGTAACCCCAGGACTGAGGTGGAAGCTGGAAGATCAAAAGTTGACAGTTATCCCCAGTCAGCCTAGCCTGGCACATAAGACACCCCATTTAAAAACAACAAACAAACAAACAAACAACATTCACGAGACCCACATCATGGCTAGGAAATCAGGATCTGGCCCAGACTTCTACAGTCCTGGTAGAGGAAAAGGATGTAAGAGGGACATAGGCCAGGGAGGAACAACCTCAGCGGTAGGCTTGTGCTCTGTGAGGTAATGTGACTGGGACAAGGTGAGGGCACTGAAACCAACACAGTCTCCGTCACCTACTGTCTGTGGCTCAAAAGATCCCAAGAGGAATAGAAAATCGAGTGTACTTGCTTGAACATATGGTGAGAAACTTTTCCCCCTTCTCGGTCCCCCTAGACTTATCTTAAACGGTTAGCTGTGGTTTTAAGAGTTTATTTTCTCAAACTTGTCTTTATGTGTGTGTGTGTGTGTGTGTGTGTGTGTGTGTGTGTGCTTGTGCGTGCAGGGTCCAGGGAGACCAGAGGAGGACACTGATCCTGGAGCTGCAGTTACAGACAGCTAGGAACTCCCATCATGGGTGCCGGGAACTGAACTGTGCCCTCCGGAAGGGCAGCAAGTGCTCTCAACCGCTAAGCCAGCTCTATATCCCTACCTTTTACTCTCTGTTTGACCAGTCTCTGATTTTGTTTTTTTCCTGTGGAGATGACAGTTCATTTCCCAGTAAGGGTTCAGATGAGCATCAGTCTCTACTTGGTGCATATGATCAGAATATCCCAAACTTTTATTTGAAGATGGACAGCCTCCCGGAAATAATTTCTCACAGTAGTAATTGCTGCAAATGAGTTCCTCCTCGCTCTCCTTTCCTTCCCTTCCTGATTTCTCCTTATTCTTCCTAACAGCTATGTATTAATCACCTACTGGCTTCCAGCATAGACATCCCTGACAGACAATCAGGTACTCAGTGTGTGATAAGAGCTGGAGAAATTTGCCATTTGTATTTAGCCCATCTTCTCCGTGGTAGGTTTTCAACGCAGTACTTGCAAATGCCACCACCCCTCCCCGGTGTGTTTCAAAGAACTTTTTAAAAATAGGAGCCCCACTAATTAACTCAAGTTAGGGAGTAAATTAATGAAGTGAGGAGGAGGGAAGCATGGCTTACATCCATCCGATTAATACGAGGCAATTTGCTTTGTGGGTTTCATAAACTTGCGCTTCGGGGCATTTTTAACCCAGAACAAATGAACATATAAATTGTTTACAAACCACTGAACTTAATATAGTGATTTAGCTGTCTTTTTAGTATTTCATATAACAGATGGATCAAATGAGAATAAATATTTGCTCAATTCAAACATATTTTGAATTTAATAGGAAATGTAAATGACGACAAAACACAATATGTCTTTGGAGCACTTGAAGCAATAAAAAATCATTTAAGGGTTTCCCTCCTCATTGTTAAAAATTCTAACTTCTGTATAATGGAGCCAAAATTCATAAACCCAAGAAAGATGAGGAAGCCTTTGTAGCAATTATTAGTTTTTTTTCTGCATCTTTTTGGGTTACCCCTGCCCCTGTATTGAGTGTTGGGCTGGTAAGTAATGAGAACAAATGAGGGAGTCTGGGGAAAGAAACAGCGCTGCCATGCCTACTAGGTTGCAGGCAATTTGCAGAATAAACCCTAATAATGCAAAAGTGCCTGTTCCTGAAAACCAGTGCTGCCCCCAACTCCCTCCCTCCTTCCCTCCCTCCCTTTCTCCCTCCCTCCCTTTATCCCTCCCTTCCTCTCTCCCTCCCTCCCTTTCTTCTTCCCATCTCTGTTTGGCATGTATTGTGAACATACATGGACCATTCACATGGGGCACTTAGATGCAGGCAGGGACCCATACACATAAAAATAAAGACATTTTTATAAAAAATGCAAATAGAAAAGCCTATCAAGGCAGCAGCTTCCATGTAACCCCCAGGGTACATTAGAACCCAGAAATTGAGCTGTAAACTGTGTTACAGAATTTTATGCAATCAATGGAAGGGCACCAAAGAAACCCATGAATCAAATGTGTGCAGCCGTTAATGACAGTGAGAGTCTATCTGACTTAGAATATGTACTCACGAGGAACAGAACATTGACAAGAACAACCCCATGACAGGTGCTTCAGAAAGAGTGATCTGGATGAAACAACACAAAGGAAGCCCCCTGGAGAAAGCCAGTCTGGTATATTTGTTAAAATAATTATTTTATTTAGAGCACATGCATGTGCGTGTGTGCGTGCGTGTGTTTGTGTGTGTGTTTACTTGTGCCCAGGGAGGCCAGAAGAGGATATCAGATGCTCTGGAACTGAAGTTACAGGCACTTGTAAATCAACATATGTGGGGAGTCAGGAAATGGATTTGGATCCTCTGCAAGAGCAGCCAGTGCTCTTAACCACTGAACCATCTTGCTAGCCTCTATTTAGTTTCTGTTTGACACAGGGACTCAAGTAGCATAGGCTGACCTTGAACTCACTAATTAGCTGAAGATCTCTTCAGTGTCTGATCCTCTTCCTCTGCCTTCCAAGTGCTGGGATTGCAGGTGTGCCCTACCATGCTCAATGTATGTAGTGCTGGGAGTGGAATCCAGGCTTCCTGCATTCTCGGCAAGGTCTTTACCAACTCAGCCACATCCCCAGCTCACTGTAATAACATTTTAATAGTTGTTTTCCAAGCAAAGACATTTTCTGTAGTGTACAGTGATCTATCAGCCCAGCCTCTCAGGAAATATCATCAAAATTGAATTAGTGACTTCTTAGTGTAAGATAGTATTTTGATTCAAATGCTTGAGTATACCAGGAGGAAGTTTTACCTCAAGTATTCAGATTATTGCCACTCTCTCTTCTTCCCTTTATTGATGTTGATGCGTCTATAATAAATGATAGCTCCTGTTTATTTTTTCTATTTGTG